GGGGGGGGGGGAAGCAGTTTATCTGTGGAGGTAATGAATAAAAGTTTACTGTAATATACGATGCTGCTCGTCTTTCCAAACTACTAGATGGGAGACTGAAATGGTGATGTGTCAGTCTGTGGAGCGAGACTGTATTGCCCTGAAAAAGGCCAAGACCGATCACGAGCAGATCATCGCCTCTTTGAGGGGAGATTTGGACAGCCTGAAAGAGGAACTTTACTTCCTCAAGAAAAACCATGAAGAGGTTAGTGTGTTTGCCACCATCCCCATGTTCTCGTTTTCTCTTCTCACTACTTGACATTTGTGTAGTCTCATTTTCATTTTGGCCCTCTCCCTTCCCCAGTCTGCCCTCACAAACACTTGCTTGAAACACGCTTGACCCACTTTGGTGGACTCAGTGGGTTTTTTTAGCGCCAACATAGACAGAAAACGATGTGTGGTTGAGGAGAGCGCAGCAATAGGTGGTCCTCTGGTTACTGTGGACAAAAGCAGCAGGTAGATCTGGTTGCTCACACCTGCTCTCTCTGTCCAGTCAGCTGATCCGAGGTGTTCTCCAAGGCAAAGATAAACTTACCCCCTCACACCAAAGGAGGAACTGATCTCCCTTTTACTGAAACAAGACTGTGTAGATCCTATTTGGTGCCACTTAGAGGCCACTAGAATAATGTGATGCAAAGAAAGAAGCAATATGTCCGAGACTGGAGGTTTTTAAAACCTCATTTTCACAATGAAACAATGAACTGCTGCAAATATTCAGCATGAATTTAACCAAATAAGAGTAGATTATTAGAACAGATCACATATTCTTAATTTTTATGTATTTTACCCATGTGGTGCTTGCTTTGTGAATGTGAATCTCTGGAATCTATGCCTTTTTGTTGAATATATGGCAACTCATTTAGATAAGCAGTGTCTCTTTGGGGAGCATTGGGACATTAGATAGACCCTAAGCAAGAATTCAGTGACTAAGCATGAAATATATAAACTATAATTCAAGTTTGTTGCCCAATAAAGTTTAGAAAAATGTGTATAAACATATATCAAGAGCTTTAGTAATACACTACTTTAGAATAAAACAGACTAGTGACAGAGAACAATGTAACAAAGAAGAGAGAGTGAAAGAAATCCACCAAGCATGCTTGAGCAGGATTATTTGTGTGCAAGTTGAAAGGCCAGGGGTAAGCTGAGCTCTTTCCCATTCAGTATTTATGAGAAACATCTAAATAATTAAAGTGCCATCACATCCTCTCTGTCACTCTGCGGTGTAGGGTTCAGCGATCTCTTCCACGCCTTCTTCATATGCTGACTGTGGAAACCAGTGTTGGTTACATTTAATTAGAAGTGACATTTAATACACAGTGCAACTAAAATAATTTGGTTTAAAAATGACAATGTGAGCAATGTAATAAAAACAATCTCCTGTGTGCCTACAGGAACTCGAGCAGATGAAGTCTCGTATTGCCAGAGATGAGGTGAACGTGGAGGTGGACTCTGCCACCGGGCCCGAGCTGGGCACCATTCTGTTCGAGCTGCGTTCCCAATATGAGGGCATTGTGAAGAGGAACAAGGAACAGGCGGAGCAGTGGTATCGCAAGAAGGTGTGGGGAGTAATATCTAGTGTGAATCACTGTAATAATGTTGAATGGTCCTCGCAAAGTTACACAAAAGGTCACAGAAAACACTTCTTTGCCAGCTGGAGACGATGCAGAATGAGGTGAAGGAGAGCAACGAGGCTCTGAGGGGAGCTCAGGGAGAGCTGACCGAGAGGCAGCGCTTCCTGCAGACCCTGGAGGTGGAGCTGGAGAGTCTGCACAAACAGGTGAGCTGGGATGCAACAGCAAGATGAAACAGCGCACGGACATACTGTAAATTCCTTTAGCTTCCACTCATCACCAACTGGTCATGTTAGATGGTTTTTCCTTCCGACTGTCTTGTGCTTGCTCATAGGGGTTGTCTAATTGTTGGAATTTTCCCAGTTACTGTAGTGTATTTACCTTTAAATACAAAGCACCTTACTGTCATTTGACTGTATGTAAAATCGAATTGAAAAAGTCACTGTGTAGACAGAGAATGTCTACACAGTGACTACAGCAAGAAAAGTCGCCCATCCCTAGGAAAGGTTGTGGTGTAGGTGAGGGTGTGGTCTTACTTCACTGCTGTTTTTCCTTTCTGCAGGCAGAAGAGTGACGTGTCTGTGTTTCGGTTAAAAAAAACCATTTTGAGTTGTGCAAACATAGCCTAATACCCGCAAGAGCAGTGCAAACACACCTCAGGCGTGATTCTAAATTTATTTTTATACGAGTATTAACTTTTCAAAAAGCCGCACTGAAATATGGTGTTGTATTAAAGAAAGAGATTTGTCCAACAGCAACAGAAAACCCTTGCAGATGTCCAGATAAGTTTCGTGTACATTCTTTGTACATTTCCAGACCACTGCATCTTATGTTCTGGGAAAAAATCATTTTGTTTTTCTTTCATTTAATCCTGTGTTGACAGTAAACATGTTTTACCGTGCAGGGACATATCACATTCAGTTGCAAAATAGTATGGGGTGAGGTTCAGTGGTGAGGTGGGTTAATTGTGTCTGAGCAGCAAATGTTTGCTTTAGGTGCCAAGGACTTGTCCGTTCACAGGAGTTTGTTGATATGGGCTTGGGAAGCAATTTCAGAATCAGGCGACCTACTATGTAGCATCATATTACTGATTGCTGGTTACAACACAGCACAGCAGAGTCACTGTTATGAGGAGAATCATAGGGTTATCATGTCCGGTGGACATGCCGGTGTTTTTTAACTTGATACTGATATCACGACTATGAGGAATATTCACGGCAATTCCGGATATAGATTGCTTTGTTTTGTTCCCTTCTGCTCCTCAGATAGCAGCTCTGGAGGGAAACCTCGGTGAGACGGGTCAAAAGTATTTTGCTGAGATGGAGCGGCTGCAGGTCACCCTGAACCAGCTGGAGGAGGACCTCTCTCAGCTCAGGCTGGACATGCAGCGCACCAAGACCGACTACGAGCAGCTTCTTCGCATCAAGCAAAACCTGGAGATGGAGATCGCCACCTACAGACGCCTGCTGGAGGGAGAGGACTCGTAAGTATAGCAATACTAATAAAGATTTAGCGCATGTCTCAAAGGGAAATTATAATTAAGTATGCTTTACCCAGCCCTTTAAAATAAATCTGTATGTTAGCTTTGGCCAGCAGGTAACACAGAAACTTTAGTGAAGAAGTTAGAGAAGGACAATAACACACCTGATATACTCAGAGATTATGGTGCATCCTTGTAGTTTGATGTTCAGTCAGAATGGGGATAATTTGGCTACACTGTTGCCTTGATCACAATACCTGTATGATCATCTTACATCAAGCGTTTCTTAGCCTGCCGCCTGGCATTGTTGGGTGTAGCTGTTCTCAGATGTCAGCTTTGGTGAGAACACTGTTACTGTGGCAATGTTCTCACCAAAGTAAGCAACAGACAGGAAAACTGACGAGAGTGTAAACTGTACTGCGTTGTTTATAAAACCTAATCACAAAAAAATATAATAATAAGCAAGTTGTAAGAAACTGAAGCTTGCTGTCAGTGTCCGGGCGTGTTTCATGCTAAGAGTCCTTTTAGGGCAGTGTTTTTCTGATTGGCTGCCCCTAACAAACCGAAGGTTTGAACAACAAATGGGTGGGGCTTTTGCACTCACAGCCAGATCTGTGTGCCTGAGGTGACTATATTAAGGATATCTGCTCTCACTGACATCAAAAAGAGCTAAAAACTGAAATAAAGCTGCATGAAACCAGCTATTATAAAATATATAAGTTCCCTTTAAATGATTGCTTTGATTGTGTTAGTCTTGCTTTAATTGAAAGGTAATTCTAACAGGTTTTCTTTCTGCCCTTCAGAGTCAAAGAAGTCCCTCCTCCACCAAAAAGTGAGTGAGTTATTGAAAACTTTATGGAAGGAAAGAATGACCAAAAGTGAAGTTATGAGAAAGATAAGTCAAGCAAAAAAGGAAAACTGTATTCAAAGTCAAATGTGGATCTGAGCCAGCATTGTAGTAGACAGACAGACAGACAGACAGACAGACAGACAGACAGAAGGGTATATCTATCTTTTACCACACCCAGGAGGCCCACAACTAATTATAGTTATGTAAATATCCAAACAATGCACAAACCACTTACAGCTCAGCTCCTATAGCAACTAATGTGGGTCTGAAAACATTTCCCCCCGTGTTGTGTCCTAATCTCTCTGACTTGCACTGCTGGATTAAGAAACTGGAGTGTGATGTGATGTGAGATGAATAGGTAACACAACTTTTACAAACTCTGTGCTTTAGTAGCAGTCACATATCATCCTATATGTGAAACTACTGAGATTTTACATTTTTTAAATGTATTTATATGCGTAAAAAACTAGTTTAGTCAGCCTCACATTCTCTTCTCATGTCTTTTAAACACAGAGGAGCCCGAAGTCCGCACCAGAAAGATCGTGAAGGTGGTGACTCAGACCATGGTCAACGGCAAGGTGGTGGACGAGTCCAGCGAAGTGGAGCAGATTGAGGAGTCGAAGAAATAGAACAAGCAAAGAGCCAGCTGAAATTTTAAAATAAACAAAATAAGTAGAAGTTAGAACTTTTTTCAAAAAAAAGGAGAAAAGGGAAAACAAGAAAAATTAAGAGTCCGCCCTATTACTCATGAATTGTGAAAATGAAGCTGAGAGCATTGTTGGAGGTACAGTAATGACTGACTATGAATGTCCTGTGTTTCCTATCATCTCACATGAAACGTGATTCAGACGTCACTACAAACAAGCTATGCTTTGCATGAGTTCATTGACTTTTAGATAGAAATGTGTGAAAACTGACTGATCACTGCTAAACTCTGTTTTACTAATAAAGGGTTTTGTAGTCAAATGATGTTTAATTCCTAGTGCGATAACATTCTTTTTACTAAATGAGCCTCTGTTCCTTTTACAACAATTTCATGTCTGCTGTTTACTGTTTGCATTCTGAATACAAAGACAGAATAAATCCACAATGTGTCCACCTTCTCTATTCTTACATCACCTTTGATAACGGCCTAGATTTTGGGATTTTTTGAGTCTGAATTGAACAACTTAGAGTCAGCCTAAAGGCTTCATGAGGCTATTCTTCAGCACAGAAGTGCTTTGCCATGTTAAACGTCTGTGAAGGTTCTCATTCAACCAGGTCATCTTAGTCTAAGAAGATTGGAAAGAAAAGCGCCTGGACTTCTTTAAGTTGTTTGAAGACATTTCACCTCTCATCCGATAGCTTTTCTTTCCCAGCTCCTTAGGCCATGTTTAACAGCTTTTATTTAATTAAACAAGTTTACTGAAGTTAAGCATAAAGTGCAGCCAGGTTTAAAGGGACAATATATAAACAGCCATGAAAAGTACAACCTAGGGCGATCGTGGCTCAAGAGTTGGGAGTTCGCCTTGTAATCGGAATGTTGCCGGTTCGAGCCCCGGCTCGGACAGTCTCGGTCGTTGTGTCCTTGGGCAAGACACTTCACCCGTTGCCTACTGGTGGTGGTCAGAGGGCCCGGTGGCGCCAGTGTCCGGCAGCCTCGCCTCTGTCAGTGCGCCCCAGGGTGGCTGTGGCTACAATGTAGCTTGCCATCACCAGTGTGTGAATGTGTGGATGATGTAAAGCGACTAGTAAAGCACTATACAAATACAGGCCATTTACTTGTGGTACCAGACAAAAAGTATGGCGATACCAGAAGTAGTAGGAATCATCCAAAGTAACAGACAGTGCACACGAGAAGTGCGGAAGAGAGTGCAGGCGGGTGGAGATGAGTGTCGGGGGTTATTTGTGACAAATAGATGGCAGCAAGAGTGAAAGGGAAGGTTTACAAGATGTCAGTGAGACCTTCTGTGATTCATGGTTTGGATACGGTGGCACAAAACAACAATAGTGTGGCATATAGTAGGGTGGGCCTTGATGACTGTTTCCCTCTTTTGTTACAGGATTGTGCCATACTGCTGCTGTCTTGTTGTGTCTTGTTGTTGTTATCTTACAAGCGTCTATGGACTGGCCATGACTGACTCCCGGTTTTATGGTCTTTTACTTGGAATTGTTTGATATCTTTTAATCTTGCTTTTATAAAGAACTGTATCTTAGGCTGTATTTGTTTTATTTATATCTCTTTTACTAATTTGTTTAACGTTTTATGCTTTGTTTTGTTGCTTTACTGGAGGTGCGGGGCTAGGCACGTGAGGTGGAATCCGCTTCCCAATGTATGAGATTGTACACATACAGATGGTAGATTGCACCATTTAGATTTCAGTGTGAGTGACAGTGAGGTTTGCAGTGGAACTACACGGGTGAGTAATTGGGGGCACCCTTGGGCACTGCTCTCTGTAGGGTTGCCTCCTCAAGTGGCCGGTCTCCACCATTTTGTTTAGGTATTTTTATTGAGCCGTGATTGTTCTAGGGTAGCATCGTGGCAGCAGCCTGGTCATTTTAATCATTGTTTGTTAAAAAGGCATTTTAATTAACTGTCTTGCAGTCTCAGCCCTGCTACCTTAAGAACTTTTCTGATTTTACAGTTCTATGCTTTTAGTAGTTTGTCTTAATACATTTTGATTTGTGGAATTGATCTGCCTCACCTCTTCTGAGCTTGGTAGCTAGTGTAACATTTACATTGGCTATAGAAATCTGTCCTGGGGTGTAACGCCCTCTCCAGGTGGCGTTGTCAGCATCTCATAGTCACCTTCACTGGTTATCCCTCCTTCACGCCACCACATGATTTTGGTTGGGAATGACCAGAACAGACAAGATTAGAGCATCATGGGTACATCAACTCACGGTGTGCTGCAGGGGGCTGGTGTGACAGAAGATGATGTGATGGATAGGGTGAGATGGAAGTAAATGATTTGCTGTGGCAACCCATAAAGGGAGCAGCAAAAAAAAAAGAAGATGAAGAAGAAAATAATACTAATCATTTTTAGGGGTGTGCAGTTAAATTTTAACACAAATTTTGTATCGAACCACAATTTCTGTGACTCATTAAAAGTGAAGAATGATGATAGACAGACCTGGAGGGATGGTCTCACTAACTTGACATATATGAGCACAATGTATATGCTGTACAGTCTTTTTATTTATTTTTATTAATGTTTGGGTTAATGGTTAACCTAAAATCCATCCCCAGAACTATCTTAATATCTGAAAATGATGGGTTCAGTCAAAAGTCAAATTTTCTCTGCTGGTGTCGTCACAGTTGCTCCTTTTCAGGCAATGAAACCACGGCCTACAGCCTGAGCTATTCATAAACAGAAAACTATATTAAATTGGGCTCAAAATCCAATCAAAACACACTGATTAGAAAGCAGGATTTGTGAATAATGCTTTTGTTGTTTAATAATTGATTGTTGTTAATTTTCTGCAATAAATGTTTATTTAAAGAAGGCCAAAGTAAATTTCCAAACATGTTCCTCCATTAAAACATTGTTGGGAAAACAATTTCACTCTAAGAAAATGAAAAGAAAAAAATCAGAATGAAATGCGTATTAAATGGATTGTAACAGTTAGTTTGATTCAAAGGTTCAATGTCCAACAGGATCGCTGAGATAACGCAGAGAACAGGAAAGCACAAGGAGCCCACCTGGAGTAACTATCAAGGGGAATCCCGTTCAGATTACATCACTGTCTTTTGTTCTCAGTGTATTGTAAAGAGGATAATTACAGTCATGGTTCTGAACCAAAACCTGACTTTATTTATGCTTTATACATTTTTCTTGTCAATTACATTTTAGTTGCAAATAGTTACTCAGCCATTTTGTACTCCACTGATAAAAACTGCCACCTTTTCTCAAAAGTTTTAAAGTCAGAAGATGATGTTGCTCCCTGCCATTTGTGCAAAATGCCCAAGAACACAAACTATGCAAACAAACAACAAACTCCAGAGAGTGTCTCAGCGCAGCAGCCTTTTAAATTATGTGCAGCAAGCAAAGCAAAAACTAAAAAAAAGAAAAAAGTGGTGCTTAAAAGAAGAAGAGGAGAGTGCAGGATGAGGACGTTGCACTTTGGATTTGAGCAGTTCTGTCAATGACTTTGCTGCGCAAAGAGTCTGAGTATGAGAAGTTGTGTTTGCTCTGGTACAGTGTGGTGGTAAGAGCCCAAAGAAATATCTGCCCCGGGGCCTATCACAGAGTTATTACGCCTGCGGTTCAGCTGCAAACATGTGAAGCCCAAAGTCATTATGTGGGAGGGCATGTTTGTTGTCACTGAGGTAAAGTGTTGAGTAATATCTCAAAAGCACTGAAAACATACTGCAGTTCTTTCACTAAAGACATTTTTGAGGTAGCTCCTCTAATGCCGAGGCAAATATAGAAAAAAATAGGCTGAAAATAACAGGGTCCTATAGTGACGGGTGATGTACTTGTAAGTCTTTCCTGTCTGATTTATATGAAGCACATTATCTAGAATGACTGACAGCTCTATAGTTCACACAGACTTAGTAATTAGTTTGGTTGTATAATCTTTATGAGTGACATTTAGGGTTTTTTCCTCTGGCATGATAATCCTTTAAAAGCTCATGCTATTATATGAATGCACACTTTCATGATTCTACAACCAAACCGTCACAACAAACCAAAACAAAAAAAAAAGATAAAGATAAATCAGGACAAAAGCAGGTACCAGTTATGACAACACTGTCAACTTGTTTATAAAATTTTTTATCATCCATGTGTAACAACAAACAATCGCAGGAGCCACTTTTACACGGGTTCAAACGGGAGGACTTTTTTAGCGGTCAAACATTTTGTTTTTGTGGAAAGGAGCATGATAAAAAGGAGCAGACCAACAAAAAACACAATAAGACATCAACAGGCTTCCTGAGATCATGTTACAAATATACATTTTCTGTGAGTGTTTATAGAAATCTGTGGTTTTAAAAGGCCACAAAACAAAGTTTTGTTTTATTTAATCAGATTTTCGTGTATAGAAAACTGAAACACCACTGACTCAACGCCTTTTTCCGTTACTCTGAATAAATAAGACAGATACATGCAAGTCCTGTTCACAGAGCACTGAGTTTGTAAAGACCAAGGCTGATGCGTTGTCGGCCAGCTCACAGTGTTATAAAGCAATAGACACAGAAAGTCTGATAAACTTTAGGACAAATAAACTCTGAGAACTGCCTCACACTAGTGCCACATGGTTACATGGCAAGAAGCAGCGAGATTAATTATTAATATGCCTGAAATAATTTCTAGATTCATGGATTCAGAAAATGAAAATCTTCTTTGTACAGACCAATTGCTGTCAATTTGAAAACAAGGCTTTCAGATGTTGGACAGTTTGGGGCCTCTACTGTAATATTTCCAACTTCATAACCTGCCAGATGTTTTCAGTAGGTGACTGGACTGCAGACAGGCCAGTTGTGATGACCCTCACCCTAATGTCCTTTCATCGGCTCCACTTGGCAGTTCCTTTCTGCAGCTCTTGGAGAGGACGAGTGGTTTGCTCCCAATTAGCAACATTAGCAACAGCTGAGCTCTAATTTAAATCCCTTAGAGCTCAGCTGCCGGGTGGGTGTCTTCCCTCATGAATCATTTTGGATTTTGGTTGTGTGTTG